TAGATAAAAAAAAAATTTAATTGTTTTGTATTTGAAAAATGTTTTAAAAACAAAAATTTCGAGTATACAAAAGCGAAAGACACGATTTAAGTTTGAAACAACTAAAACCTAGACCAAGTTTTGTTGAATAGTGACAATTCTACATTTTTTTTTTTTAACGTCTGGTAGTGACAATTCTACATTATATCATTCAAACAAGTAACATTATATATATGTGCTAGAATCACTTAGAGAAGTTATAGATTTTGATAAAGAAAAAATATAACATAGGTGGTGAACAACTAATACCAGCTTCCTACTTACAACTTTCATTCTTGTCTTAGCTATTTAAGATCAATGTCCCCACGTGAATATCGGTTCACCTACCGTTACCCATCTCTATTTAATTATTACATTTCGACTATTTATTTTCCGATTACTAGTGAGTACCTTTATAGCTAATCTTGTTTATATGTTTTCAACTTTCAAAATCAAAAGATGGTAACATTTTGGAGAAGTTCACGTTCAACTTTGAAATGTCTTATTTTATGGGGTCTAATCTTGAGGAAATATAAGAGCTAATGAGCTATGAGACAAAAAAAAGTGAGCAATTGTAAGCATTTAGGATCTTTCAGATAAACTGAGCCAAGTGGTTTTCTCATCTCTTTTGAGCACGAGAGTTCCATTCAAGTTTTATATGGTGGGATCAATTAATAAAAATTGAAAAATATACTACATATTAATACAAAAATTGTATTATTCCCTCTGTAGTATTATCATCCAATATAAGTGAAAACTATACTATTCAGTTTTGTTTTTCGTGTGGATAATCATGCTAGATCAACCATATCAATACAACAAAAAAGTCCAATCTAAAGTAAATATGTTTGTTTGATTAACACAATTCTTTTACAGATATCTGAATAACCAAAGCAAAGTTGACTAAAACTGAATAAATAGTAACTGGATCAAACTATTTTCTTTTTAGAAATTTGAAAACAAAAACTGAATTCGATCCAAAGTGTGAATACATATTAGTTTGTGGAAACAATGCCATCATTAAGCCACAGTGAAAAAAAAACCAAAATGTTTTGAATGTATCCATCAAAAACCGAATTCGAACCAAAACTATATTTAGATTCAGTTTTACATTTGTTATTAATG